ATCCATATTTTCTTTATTCACTTAACCCATTGATAAACCTTTAGGTTGTTTCCATATTTTGCCATGAAGAATTCTGCAGTGTACATGAGAGTGCAGATCCTTCTGGCATACCAATTGCAGTTACCAGGCATTATTTGATAATTCTATGTTCATTTTGTTCAGAGCTTCCATACTATTTTTCATAATAGCTATATTAATTTATATTCCTTCCAACAGTATATACAGATTCCCTTTTGTCTATATCCTCTCCAATACTTGTTGTCAGTCATATTTCTAATAGCAGCTATTTACTAGGTATGAGATAAAAAAGCTCTGTGAGTTGTTTTGTTATTTTTCCTTCCCCTCCCATGTCTTCATCCTTCTCTTCCATCTCCTTTGTTTCCCTTTGGTTGACAGAGTCTTGCTATGTAGCACAGGCAGCCTCTCAATTGGGGATCTTCATACTTATACCTTCTGAGTGCTAGGATTAAAGGTGTACACCACCATGCCTAGCTTCATTGTTCTTTTAGTGTGCATTTTCCCAACTATTAGAGTTGTTTTACATTATCTCTTTTTCATCTGTTGACCATAAGTAGCATTTCTTTGGGGCAATGTCCCTGATCCATTTTTAACTATTTTGCTCTCTTGATACTGACTTCTGAGTTCTTTGTACATTTTGGGAACTAGCTATAGTGAGACAGGGTTTTCCCTTTTGCACTGGTTGTTTCCTTAGCTATTCTGAAGCATTTTAGTTTGACACAGCCTGTTACTCTACTTTTGTTTGTGTTTGTTTTTGTGGTGCAGGGAATTGAACCCAGGGCTTCATACATGCTAATCAAGCACTTGACCTTTAAGGTACATCCCACCCTTGCATTTTGATTTTCTGCTTATGCTTTGGAATGCTATTCAGGAAACTATTAGCCAGACCAATGCCCACTACTTCTTTTAGTAGGTCCACAGGTTTGGGTATCACATTTAATAGATTTAAAGTTAATTTTGACTCAATTACTGTACTGGAATAAAGGTCTAATTTTATTCTTTTGTGTTTTACCACCAGCAGTTCCTGTAAACAGTATACTTAACCCTTTGTGCATTCTGAAAAGCAACTGTCTTCAAAGGTTACACTGGGTTTATTTATGGGTTGTATATTTTATGCCGCTATTATTCTGCTTTTAATTATGGCAGCTTTGTTGCATACAGATTAAGTAACCCTAACACAGTGTTTAGATCAAACTGTAGTTTGAAATTAGGGGTATGATGCCTTTATGTTGTCAATGTCTGGCTCTTTCACTTTCCATACTGGCCTCACAGGGCTTTCTCTGAACTCTGTCCTAGGATCTGTGATTTGTGATTTTTTCTGTTTCTCAGATATTTGTTTAAAATCTAGATTCAGACTCAGATAGCTCAGTCATTAAGAGTTTGGTTGCCAGCATCGATGGTGAGCAGCTAACAACCATCTGTAACCTATCTGCAGGGGATCTGACACCCACTTCTTGGTTTACTAAGACCATGCACTGGTCACTTGGAAATGCACAGTGCCTATATTTCACTCTTTTGTATTTCAAAATCACATGAGTAGTGTTACCATCCACTTTATTTAAACAAAGCCTTTAGCAAGCCATGGGAAGTAGCATACGCTGGAACCCCAGCAATGTGGAGGCAGAAGCAGGGAGAGTCCCCAAAGTTTGAAGCTAATCTCATATATATACATTGCAAGTTCCAGGGTAGCCAAGGTTACATAGCAAGATTACTTGTCAAAAGAGAAATAATAAACACAGAAACAAATAAATAAATGAATAGAATAAAAATTTAAAAATCGGCGAGCTGTTGAAAAGCTATTCATATCACAGTCACCAGTAAAGGTTTTAAAAAATTCTATATTTTGATTTAAATTTCAAGTTTTATTATTGACAACAGATACTATCAGGGTGGAGGGATAGTTCAGTGGTTAAGTGCAGTGACTGCTCTGTTACGTGACTGTTTCTGGCCTGGTAGGTCCTGCCGCCGCTTTAGCCCCAAATGATCACACAGACGCTATATTAATTATGAAACTGTTGGCCACTGGCTATGGTTTCTTATTGGGTAGCTCTGTCTTAAATATTAACCCATAACTGCCAATCCATGTGTTTCCAAGTGGTCTTGGCTTACTGGACCTGCAACTCCTTTGCCTGCTACATGATGATGGCTCAGTGTTTCCACAGAAAAGAGAAGAGAGCGATTTCCTGTTTGTCCTTCCTTATATTTTATTCTTTTTTTTTTCCTTTTTTTTTGTTTTTTGGTTTTTCGAGACAGGGTTTCTCTGTGTAGCTTTGGAGCCTATCCTGGCACTCGCTCTGTCAATCAGGCTGGCCTCAAACTCACAGAGATCTGATGGGGGAAGTACTTCTGTGTATGTTTATCTTATTAATTGTTAAATAAAATACTGTTTGGCCAATGGCAAGCAAGGACTAGGAGTCAAAGAGGATTCTGGGAAATGTAGTAGAGAAGTGATGATACAGGCAGGAAGTGACATGGCAAGGAGACTCAATATCTAAGCGAGGAAACACGAAGTGTGCCAACTTTCCCCTCTGCTCCTGCTCCAGCTCCACAATGTGATCCACTGGCAAGGAGGGATGCCAATAAGGCGTCCGATAAGATAAGTCTTATAAAATATATAGATTTATGATAATTAAGACTGAGCTAGCAGATGAGAAATCCTAGTCATTGGCCAAGCAGCTTTGAACCTAATACAAGTTTCTGTGTATTCATTTGGGCCTAACTCGGGCGGGCGGCTGGCGTAAAGCTCACACGGGGCGTTGGGGCTCAGGAGGCTTTTGGCAGAAAGATTTATCCTAAAAGAGATCCACCTGCCTCTGCCTCTCGAGTGCTGGGATTAAAGGCGTGTGCCACCAAAGCCCAGCTATATTCTTATTCTTTCCAGCTATGTCACTTCCTGCCTGTCTGTGCAGACCTCCAGACCTCTATGGTTAGCTACTGGCAGTTTCTGCCCAGCTACTTCACTTCCTGGGATGAAGATTCTTCTCTGCCTACACTTCCCAGAATCCTCATATCTTGTGCCCTATTGGCTAACAGTGTTTTATTTATCAGCCAGTAAGATAAACATATAGACAGAAGAACATTCCCCATCACTGCTCTTTCAGAGGGCCTTACTTTGTGAGCACCCACCTGGCAGCTCACTACTGGCTCCAGTTCTGGGGGATCCAACTTTGTGGTCATGCAAGTATTACATATATATGCATGTTAGCAAACCATTCATATACATAAAATAAAATAATTAAATAAAACAGATACTATTGGGGTTTATGTTTAGGTGATAGGAAATTCTATTCAGTTGCAAGGAAATGTATGACATATTTAAGTTGGCATAACAGTTGTTATTTAAATAAAATCTTTAGGTGCTAGTCTTGGTTTCTACAATTCAAGGAAAACTAATTTGTGAGAGAAGTGGCTCATGCTGCTGAAAATCCATCAGCCTGTGTCTTTTTGGGTGTTCTGTAAACATTTAAACATATTTCTATGTCAGAATGTTCATTTTGTTCATTTATTTTGAGACAGGGTCCATTATGTATTCCCAGCTGACCTGGAACATGCCATGTAGATCAGGCTGGCCTTGAACTCACAGGGGTCCAGCTCCCTATGCACTAAAGGTATGCACCCTCACACTCAGGCCATACTTCAATAAAAATAATATTTTTATTTTTTGTAGTAAATTTTCAGTACTGCTAAGCATACTACCCTAAATAGATTTAGCAGTTTAAAACAACATTTCCCAAGTTTTCCTGTGATAATTCCCAAATTTGTCTTTTCCCAGTGTTTTAAAATTGAAAATTATTTTGATTTGGCTTTGACTTTGGGAAAATTTTACTTATTTCCCTTTTTATAGTCTTACTATGTAGCCAAAGTAGCCTCCAATTTTCCCCCCACCTCCACCCCACTTCTCCCTCTAAGGTTAAGGCATGTACCATTATACCTAATCCTAATGTTAATTTGTAGGTCATCATAGATTAAGTCCCATGTTCTTTTCACCCAGGTTTGACTGGTGCACCTAGTCAGATATGGACAGTTCTTTCACCCAAAGCACTTCATGCTTCCATTGTACAGCCATGCTAGCCTTCCTTCAGTTCCATTCTCCTTTCCCCATCTCTTCCCTAATCTCTGGCTGCCACTAATCTGTTTTTCATTTTTAAATGTCATTTCAAGAAGGTTATGCAAATGTGATGAAAAAGTAGACAGCCTTTTGGACTTGGATTTTTTTCATGTAACTTAATTCACTTGGGATGCATCCAAGTTCTTGGGTGGATCATTAGTTTATTTTTATTGATGAAGAATTTTTCATAGTGTGGAGGTACCAAAGTTTGCATAGCACTTGCTGTATGGATGGATGTCTGAGGTGTTTCTAGTTTGGGACTACTATGAGTAAAGTTTCTGTGGAGTTTCTTGTGTGGCTATATTTGTAAATATAAGTTTCCTTTCTTCAGGAATCATACCAAGGCTAGACTGGGTGGTATTTGCATAGTTTTTTTTTTTTTAAGAGCTGGTTGATTCTTCAAGGAAGGTTATATTAGTCTCCATTTCCACTAGCATTCTGGGAGGGACCAGTGTCCCTACATCTTAGGCACCTTTGGGTATTTTCAGTATTTTGGTTGATGTGTGGTGGCATTGTATAACCTGTGATTCACATGCTTATTTGTCCAATGTATTTATGTGGAATGTTTGTTGCATTTTCTAGTTTTTAATTCACCTTAACTCATTATTTAAAATGATCAAATGAAACATGGGTGTTGTTTCACCTTGTTTTTGAGCTGGGACTGCTGGTTCAAACCTCTACCTTTAATCCCAACAGTCAGGAGACGGAGGAAGGTAGATCTTTGTGAGTTCTAGGATAGTCTGGTCTACATAGTGACTTCCAGGACGCAGGGGGATCCCATCTCAACAGTCAATTATATCTGGCTTGTTTTTTATCTTGTACCCAGTTGTTAATCAATTTGTTGTTTCCTTTGTGTTTTTGGGTCCCTCTGAAGGAAGTAATTTTGACTTGACTGATGGAGATGATGGCCACCAGAAACCAGGTACAGGAGGAAGAGGTAAGTCCTAACTGGCTGAAATTACAGACTAGCCCTGTAGTTCTCTGGTGGCTCTGTCTCTATAAATGTTCATTTTTATTTTGTTGGTCTATTTATATTTTAGGGTATTTATTTTTCATGTGTATAGGTATTTTTGCCTGCCTGCATGTCTGAGCACTGCATACATATAGTGCCTATAGAGGGCAGAAGGAGTCATTGGATCTTCTGGAACTGAAGTTACAGATGTTATGAGCCATCGTGTGGCTGCTGGGAATCAAATCCAGGCTTCCTGAAAGAGAAGTCAGTGGTGTTAACCATGGAATCACCTCTCCAGCCCTGGGTCTGCTTTATTAACTATAGCAGCCCAGTGTGCCACAAGAGAACTTTCAGGCAGAGGCATTTAAGCATTTTGGTCTCAATACTTCCCAAATTTTTGAGGATCTCAAGAAATTTTGTGTAGACTATATCTATTGATGTTTATTATGTAAGATCTTAAAACTGAAAAGACTTCATTAATCGATTGAAGTGAACATGCTGGCTGTGATGGTGTACACCTCTAATCCTAGTATCTGAGAAGTAGAGGCAGGTGGATCTTTGTGGGTTCAAGACCACCCTAGTCTACAGAGGGAATGCCAGGACAGATGAGTTACATAGTAAGATCCTTTCCCAAAAATTCATATTATCATACTTTGGACTTTCTTAGTATTGAGTTTTAAGAAGTCTTTACATATTCTAGACATTGAATCTTAGATATGTGGTTTTCTCCTATTCTATATCTTAAGTTTTTGCTCCATTAACAAAGTCTTCTCTGGAGCAAACAGTTTTAAGTTTGATTGATTATGCTTTTGCTGCCAGGTCTGAGAGCTAGAATTTTCCTATCTTTTTTTTTCTTAAAATGCCTTTTTATTTTCTGTGAATGTCAAATTGCTTCAAATTGCTCATTTGTACACAAGGCTATCTTTCTATTGAATTGCTTTAGAAATTTTGAAAAAAATTAATTGAAATATAACTCCATTTTTGTTTGTTTAGTGTCTTTTAACACAGGGTCTTGCTGTGTAGCTCTGTCTGGCCTGGTACATGTTATATAACCCAGTGTGGTCTCAGAATCATAGGGATCTACTGCCTGAGCATCTCCAGGGCTGGGATTATAAACCCATCAGACCTTTTGAGTTACATTTGGTGTTCTTATGTTTTGTTGAGGATCTTGCAAAGATATTCATAATAGACATAAGTCTGCATTTTCTTATGGTGTCTTTGTTGGGTTTTGGCATCAAAGTAATGCTAAATAATACTGGTCTCTGTGAATGGGTTTGAAAGTATTATCTTCTTGTATATCCTGGATGAGTTCTCACCCTTCTAATAAATATTTTAAATTTATTATTTGAAAATTATATAATTGCATACAATGTATCTTGATTATACTCTCCCACACCCTCCCATAAATCCTAACACACCTCCCTCCCAACTCCCAAATTTATCCAATTAGTGCTACCTATCTGCACATGGGCATGGGGCCATCCACTGGGCAACCTGCCAGCCACCACACTTCCAAAGAAAAATGCAACTCCCTCCCCAAACAGCTGTTAATGGCCTGTACCCTCTCAGATTCAGTAGTGGGTGACTTTTTGAAGTATTAGTCTTTATTCTTTTAAGTGTTTTATATAATTCACCAACGAAGCCATATGATAGTTGCTTTTTCTTCATGGGAAATTGTTTTGTCTTTAATTCTTTTTGTGGGGATGGTTTCGAGACAGGTTTTCTCTGTGGCTTTGGAGGCTGGCCTGGAACTCACTCTGTAGACCAGGCTGGCCTTGAACTCACAGAGATCCACCTGCCTCTGCCTCCCGAGTGCTGGGATTAAAGGCGTGCACCACCAATGCCCAGATGTTTTTAAATTGTTTTGTGTATATGTATGTATGTGTTCATGTGTGTGCTGGTGCACATGAATGTGAGTGCATACGTTTGTGTGAGTGCACATGTATGTGTGTGAAGGTCAGAGGAAAATGTCAGGTGTCTTCCTAATTACTTCCCACCTTCTGTTTCTGAGACATGGTTTTCTCTGAACCTTAAGATTGCTGATTGGGTTAGACTGTTCAGCAAACCCAGGTGTCCTCTATTTTCTCTTCCTCAGAACTAAGGTTAGGAGTGCATACCACTGCACCAAGGTATTATGTGGACCCAAATTTATTTCCCCATACTCACATAGAGAATTAACCCAGGCCATGGTAGGTTTTTTGTTTGTTTTTGTTTTATGTCTATTCATATTTTTGCTTCTTCATGAATCAGTTTTAGTAGCTTGTGTCTTTTCTGGACTTTGTCCATTTGCAGATTATATAGTTTATAGTTTGACTAAATTCATTCCCTTTACATCATTGATATTTCTGTCAGGTCAGTAGTAATATCTTTTCTTTTACTTCTAATTTTTAAAAAATATTTTATTTTTATTTTAAACTATACATACATACATACATACATACATATATTTGTGTGTGTGTGTGTGTGTGTGTGTGTGTGTGTGTGT